AGTGACACCCTTTGGAGTCTCGAAATTGTTAGGCTATTCTTTTCACAACAATTATAAATTTTGTTACTGCTTTAAGACTTCGCATTAAAGGGTTAAAGTTCTCTATAAGTGTGTGTGTGTGTGTGTCTGTGTGTGTTTGTGTGTGTGTGTGCGCGCGTGCGTGCGTGCGTGTGCGTTTGCGCGTGTGTGTGTGTGCGCGCGCGTGTGAGTGTGTGTGTGAGTGTGAGTGTGAGTGTGAGTGTATGTGAGTGTGAGAGAGAGAGAGTGTGTGTGTGTGTGTGTGCGTGTGAAATAAAAATTCTTGATTCTTGTACCTTTGACAATAATAGAAAGAGTTTGAATTGAGCTAGCTTTCAATGTACAATTATTTAAGGCATAAGAAGCATATCAAATGCAAGTTTGTATCTAAGCCAATTTAAATATTATAATGTTGTTAATTTTGGTATAGTTTATATCGACAAAACAACACTAAGTTTGAGAAGAAATGCCAGAAATACAAAATTCAACGTCATTTTTTAAATACGTTTTTTTTTCAATTTTTTACATGAAAAAAGTTTTATGCGTTTTTATATATGCAATAAAATTTCTTTGACATATATGGTTTTGTCATATAAAGAAGTGAGTTTGAAAAGAACAGTTTTTTTTTTTCAAATATGAAAATATATGAATTGTTGCCAAATCTTTTACGTAATTATTATATATACGTATACCTGTATGCTTCCAACGCGTGAGCAGACTATTAATGATATATATCATGTATAATTTAGTAAAAATGAGGCATGACTGGTATTTCATAATTTAAAAAAAGTTCATGCACATGACCAGATCATAAAGTTTTAAAAATCACAACTTTTCTTTAAATAAACTTATTGAAACGTCTTTTTTTATTTTACAAGCTTAAAAATTACGTTTCCCAAACCTCTATGTCAGTCAATGGAGGTGTGAGATAAATTATTTTCAGAAACCTAGCGGGCAGAGTGAGACATTTTGCTTCTTTCACGCGGCCGCATTTTCACGTACACTGGAGAGGCTCGTTTAAAACTTCTTGACTTTCTTTTTTATTTTAAGTAATAACAAATTATACAGATAAACGGGGGAAATGCATAAAAGTACATAGCATTTTTAGTATTATAAACTCACAGTAATGTTTAGAAAAAAAAATTATTTTAAGTGATGTTAACTCTCTTAAAAATTCGCTTTTGTTATCTTTTTTTTTATCACAACCCTGAAATACTTTTTACTATTTCGAGCCTTCATCCACAAGTGGCGGAATTTAATGTTTTTAACAAGATTCAAACTTCAATTTATTCGTCTTTCTTCATTGGCAACGATTCCAAGGTTAAACCATCTCTTTTTGGACACGCCTTACAGGTCAGCAAAACACACTCCTTAGTTTGTGTTAGCACGCAGGCAAAGTCTCTTAATGTCTTCAAGACTGATTTCTTGGTCGCCCACGTTTAATATTGCTGCCAGGCAAAAAGTAGTTGCTCCCTCTCTTGGTTTTGGTTAACTGTGTCAAATAAACTGATATGAGATACCAGATATGTGAACAGCACAGAACCTGCTAGCGAAGCAAAACGAGAGGGTAAAGGCTGCCGCTTTCGAAGGCGGCGGCATATGAGCTTTAGCGCTGGCAGCGCCTCCTGGTAATCACAGTTGCGTCTTCCTTTTTATTACGTGCACGGATCGTCATATGGTAGTCGTTTCTAATGTTACTAAATAAACAATCACGACAGCTGTCTAAAAGCAGACGCGACACTCCTCGAGTTAAAAACAGTGGCGCGGCATGTCTACGTCCCACTCGGCCCATGGACTGCCCTTACGTACCCACTTTCCGTCCAAGAAAAATAGCCAATGCAGTTTTACGAAAGCCTTGAAGGTACTTATATCTCAACAATATATATATATATATATATATATATATATATATATATATATATATATATATATATATATAGGCGAAAAAAATAGGGAAGACGCGTACATTGCAGAAAAACGAAAGCAAGCGCCGAAGCGGCGCGATTCAGAACTGAGAGTCTCACCTCATATCATTCTACGAGATTGGGAACGTACGTACGTTTGGTTTCGCAAACATAGAAGTGCCAATAGTAAAGACGAAGATTGGGAGGATTCAACAAGCCTAGCTTAGCTATACTGTGTAGCTGAAGTTATTTGAAGAAAAAAATAATGCACGCTTATTGACGTGCTCGGCGGGCCGTCGCTTTGAAATGTTTTTCCCCGCAAGTGCTCGATTAACTCGCGGGAAACGTTTAAAACGTCCTATATATGTTTGTTAATCTCATATGAAAACGCTCAAACATTATCTAAGACAGTTTCGATTTCTGTAGTTTCCTAAGTAAGCAAACTGAACGTGGGGAAGAACCCGTTACCATAATATAGTATAAATAATATCGATGTAAAGGTTTTCCCGACCTGTGTGTGGACTCGAGAACCAATAAAAGCTATGATCATGTTACAAAAATAACTAATATTTTAGTGAAAAATGAAATGACAGAGATATGCGTCGTAGAACGGAGGTACAAATATGTCTTCTTTTCAAACGCACTGCTTAATATGACGAAACCATGTATGTAAAAGAAAGTTTATTGCCTTTATAAGAGCTCGTAAAAACATTTTCATATAAAAAATTTGAAAAAACTAAAAATGCGTATTTCCTTAAATCGTCGTTGAATTCTGTACTTTTAGCTTTTCTTCTTATGTTTACAGTTTGTTTCTTTTATATAAACTATACTTGAACTAACAATATTATAATTATTAAATAGGCTTAAATAAAAGCTTTCATTTTATATGTTTCTTATGCCTTAAAGAATTGTACATCAAAAGCTACCTCGATTGAAACTTGGCGGATTATTCACAAAGGTACATTATTGCCAAAGGTACAAATAAATATTCAAGAATATTTATTTTATAAAATGAATAATAAAAAACATTTCTAGTGAACTTCAACACTTGTATATCAAAGTATTAAAGCAGTAAAAAAAGTTATCATTGTTGTGACATAGACAATCTAAACGTTGCGAGACTCCAAAATGTGTCACTAGTGAAAACTTCAAAATCGCATGATATTAAAGTTGCCCTTTCGAAGTTGCCCTTCTGCCCTTTCGAAGCCCAAAACTCGAGAACAAAAAAATTCCGTAATTCTAATTTGCAGTTTTGTTCTAGTCATACATTTTTCATCAACATATTTTTCAAGCATTTTCTGACGACCCAACATTTTTTCTCGCACGATTTGAGATGAAATCACCCGAATGGTCCTCTGTGGTGATAGCGGGCTGTTTTGTATTGGTGTAATAAAGGTATACATGGTATTTAACTTCATAAATATTCATGCCATATTTTGTAGACATGTCAACTGTTGGGAGAAATTGGAGGGCGCACGGGCAACACTGACATAAAGTCGTTTTGCCTTGGCCTTAGCAATCCAATGCTAGCGGCAACCGAGGCCGCGTACAAGGCTGACGGCGGAACGGGAGCAGCACACGTAGATGGGTCAGCAGTCGAGATTCCTCGGGTGTCGTTACCTTTCGTGCTGTGACAAGGAACTGGGAACGCAGGTGTAAGTAGAGCAAAAACCCAGCAAGCAACGGAGCCGCCGGGAGGGTTCGATAAGCAGGCGAAAAACTCGCCTCTGCATGATGCGTCTTGGCGGAGTGATACGTATACGACGGAGCAAATATACCACGTGGTTTCTAATGGGCTCGTAATTGGACCCGGCGGCCTATAGCATTGGGCTTTAGTCCATCGTAGGATGAGACGGAGTATAGAAAGTTCCAAAACGGCTCTCGACCGGGTCAGGCACACCGAGCGGTGACAACATAGTTCACTGCAGCAATTGAAGGCATCGTAAGGAAAACTCGCCGAGCTACGATGGATAAAATCGCTGCCAACGTCAGCCATGCTTCTCACGCCAAAAGTCGAGGAAGTATTGGGTGGAAAGCATTTCCGGTCCCATCAAGAGGTAAAACGTATACGGTGCAATCGGAAATCAATCACCGGGGAAGTAATGCCTTTGTTCTTGCGCAGTTGGCACGCGCTCCGAGTCAATAATGAGCGCCGTATTTCCCGCCGGCAAGGGGAGGGTGAAGTGGGTCAAGACCCGGCGTCCTCGTGATTGACCCAAGTCTAAATCACCGAGCTCTACTCCAGTGCTGCTCTACACTCTCAGAAAAGGCCGTGCGTCTACTTTCCTGCACGACACTCGGAGAGCCAATCACCGAAACTTACGGAGGGAGCTCAGCGAATGACGATGCCGAAACATATGTTTCGACCAAAAAACGCAGCCTGAGTTGTGTCACTAGTGAGTTTTAGTATTGCGTATACGAGCAAACGCAAACGCACCGCGCTTATGTTTTGCTCGTATACGTAATACTAAAACTCACTATTAAGCAATGTAAGCGTCACGCTTGCATTGCTTAATGTCACAACTCGGACTGTGTTTTTTGGTCTAAACATATGTTTCGGCATCGTCATTCGCTGAGCTCCCTCCGTAAGTTTCGGTGATTAGCTCTCCGAGTGTCGTGCAGGAAAGTAGACGTACAGACATTGTCTACAGTGACGAGTTTACTGGTGCGATCACCGCACCATCCTCAGGGAGGAAGGTGCGATGTAGAAGACGTTATATGCACTGCCGCGTCTCGTACTTCTCATTCTTCAGTTTACCAGTTAAATGCGCCCACGTGCTTTTGTTTTTATCACATCTCAACCAATGACCATGCTTCCTTATCTACTTTCTTAACGCGCGCGCTCTCCGCGTTTTTGATATCACCTGGTGATAGCCGCTGCTTTAACCTCTGTTATTCTCCGTAAATTCCCGCTCCGCACACACAAAAAAACAGGCCCCTGCAAAGCATAACATAAGCGGTTCACTGTCACTTATCAAAACGGAAAGCGGGATTTGTGTGAGTCGCATTAAAACACTTACTATCATATTCAATATACCAATGAATACAATCCCGCCTGCCAGCACGGAATTCACTCACCATCGCAGATGACCTCGAGCGCGGGAACGAAGTAGTCTTCGCAGATGATGGAGAGCGCCACGAACATGTACACCGCAGCTAACACGTGCACCGCGACGCCACCGAGCCGTCGAAGCCGCGGACTCATCAGGGGTCTGGGGAACTGCTCGATGGCTGCGACGGTGCAGTTGCGTGGCTCCACGTCATCGCCAAGCCCTTGGGTCGAGACCTCTGACGTCTGCTCCGGCTGGGCCGAAGGCAACAACGCAAGCACCAACAGCGGCAACCAGTACAGAGTTCTGGCCATCAAAGGTATACCTGGACACAATTCCGCAGATATTAGGCCTCCACGGAGCACACCCCGCGAGAGATCTCGTGCAGAGCCTTCACCTGTGGTTCTGCAAGGAGACTGAAACTTCCACTGTCCAGCAGGTCTCTCGTCGCATCCGGGCCCCGTCTGTCTCTGCGCACTCGGCGAGGCGTCTTTTTATCTCAACTTACGTCAGGATGCGTATCAGCAATTAGTGAGCCTAGCGCTCTATCCCTGCAATTTGTTCGTAATTACAGCTTATCGCCCGATCGCCTCCCTGGTTGAGCCTGTTCAAACCAGCCAGATGTTCTGATGCTAATATTAACCTAAACTTTGATCGCACAGTTTTTGGACAATTATAGTATTTACCATACAGTTATTCGAATATTGTCTGCAGATTGACCGTAAAGTTATTTGAAGCTTATTCGAAACCCACATTGCATTATCGCTAGAAAACAGCCGTAACAGACCAGTCGTAAAGCGAAGAGCACGTGTGCATACATCACAAATGTCAATGCCCTTATCGCAATTCAGTAGCATTGATTGGACAGCGGTCGATAGGATGGTGTCACCGCGCTCGACAGTGTTCAACGTCATGAAGAACGTCATCAGCTCTGAGACCCCAGTCCGTGCACACGATTGGAATTTGCGTGCTTACATTATTACTAGCCATGGCCGAATGAAACGCATTATCTGAGCGTATTATGATGTCATATATGACACTAATCATTCGGCAACCGCTGCCCTTTTCTTTTCAAACTCGCATAACTAACTTTCACTGTGTTTATGATTGATTACGACCTGTGTATAACTAGACTAAAACCTTAAGAGTATAACCTTAGACTATAACGCTTAAGAAACGCAGGCATCTTATTATCGCTCATCAGCCAGTCAGATTGCGGAATGGGTCGATAACAAAGCAGAACAGCATGGTATGCCCCGTAATGCACTAGGGCTTAGCCAACACCATCTAGAGGCCTCCGAACTCTTCCCCGATGCCTCGATGGAACGTCATCACAGTCGAATGGCGCCAAATCAGCAATTGAACTCGAGCCCGATGCCGAGCGTCTTTCGACGCGTTGATTGGACACGAGGTCCAGCCGAGCACTGACGCAGCACTCGTATCCCATATATGTCCTCGCTCGATCTCACTGTCATGATGTCAAAATTCTAGTGCGCAGGCTTTGATTATTCTAGGTAATGTTGACTCAGCCTCCCCCCCCCCTCCCCCTTAATAAGAATACTGGGGTGTGTGTGTGTGTGTGTGGGGGGGGGGGGGGGGGGGGGGAGGGGGGACGTCAGGCAAAAGGAATCTGAAAACATTCCCCGGTTGCTAGATCAGGTCGTAAAATATGTTTAGCTTCTGTTGGGGGGTCATGTACCTGGATCTGTCGGCTCTGTCGGACGGTAGATTCCCGGCCCTCGGCACTTGGCGTACGGATTATGTCGATCGTTCCGCTAGTCGCTCTCTTCCACCATGATTTTGGACGACCGTGATTGAAAAATCACGTGCACCATATCTTCAGTCACCGAGAGTTACTCCGACGCACTTATTAAGTTTGTTTCTCTCTACCACCACCAAAGTATGATTTCCGGCTTCTAGTTGGCCACATTCGAATTTGTGAAGACCCCCTGGAACACGCCCAGCCCGCCTTCAGCCAATGGCGCCTCCTCATTTGTCTCCTACATTTCCCAACGAATGGCCAAACTCTCTTAATATACGGGATTCCGAGTCAGAACATCCAACGCGTCAAAACATACATCGAGTCAAAACATCTATTCGTGGATGTTTTGACTCGATGGATGTTCTGACTCGATGGATATTTTGACTCGGATGGATGTCCTGACTCGATGGATGTTTTGACTCGATGGATGATTTGGACTCGATAAATATTTAGACTCGGATGGATGTTCCGACTCGATGGGTGTTTTGACTCGATGGATATTTAGACTCGGATGGACGTTCTAACTCGATGGATGTGTGACCCTATCGATGTGTAACCCTATCGATGTTTAGGCTCGGATGTAAGTTCTGACTCGATGTATGTTTTGACTCAATGGATGTTTTAACTCGGATGGCTGTCATGGATATTTTGACGAGTAGAATGTTCTATCGTTTTTTTGCCTGAAAGGAGGGAGCTGTTGTGTAAACGACTTTTGACGATATGGTAAGCAAGGACCGTTTGCATACGCTCCTAGATAAAATTTAATCATTTATGAAGGACAAAATTGAGTTCGTTATTTGACGGAAGTGGATAGGATATGTTTGTATTTCTTTACTATTATTCCAGCTGTGAACTGCATTTACGATTTTATTATCTCATTATCTCATTGAGGCCTTGTCAGTTATTTAGGCTGACAAGGTCTATATATATATAAACGTGCGTTTATATATATATATATATATATATATATATATATATATATATATATATATATATATATATATATATATATTCTCTGATTCCGATTTCTTCAATTTTCCTCTACCAGTGTTAGTTACTTTTTTGTTTATTTTCTGTTTCGTAAGATCATTGCTGTTGTTTTCCTTGATCCCTGCTTGAACCACTCATGGTCTGTAGTTTTCATTAATAAATAAACATAATATTAAAGTTAATATCGAGAGGGGCATGTAAGCGGAACGAATATTTTTTTCTTTTGTTTTATCACTGTAATATTGGGTGTACGCTCGGTAGTGTCCCTGGGTCTTTCTTTTTGCTTAACGGAGTGTAAAATAAAACAGTATTTTGCTGGTCCACTCCGTATTAAAATCAGGTAGGACACGACGGCGCAGTGGCAATGGTTCTCGAAAGTGGCGAGCGGTAATGTTACGTGATCATTTGCAACTTACTTGGATTGCCGGTGAAATACGCTGCTTTTCCGTCTCGGAGGGCGTTTTATTTGCTGTCGTTTGACCCGCGCAGCTCGAGAGCACACTACTCTGCGATTCGTGGCAGCTACGTGATCCGAAGGCAATGAACAAGGCCGTTTGAATCCATATAGAAGTGCTAGGTATTCAGGCCTTTAAAAAAAAAACAATGTGACAGCCTTTTTTTCTTTTTTTTTTTTTTTATAGCTTGGTGTATGTTAATGCGTTCTTAAGAGGTTCGGAAGGAAAAGCTATTTCTTCCAGGCAATGTGGGGTAACAAATGTTAGCAATTCATTCAAAAGCAACGTGATAAAAATCATCCAAATGAAAAGAACGATATTATTATTCACACGAAAAGTTAGAGCACTCTCAAGCTTGTGAGGATGAAACATTTTTAAAGACAGAATGGCTCTGTTTTAAAAGTATCTTGCTTCGCTGCATTAAATCAAAGGAGAACAGTTTTTTTACATCGGGGTGGGAGCAGCAGAGCGCGCCATGGGCTGGCTCCGAGTCTGTGCGATTGCTCGAGGGACCAAAATACTGTTGTCGGTGAACTATGCAAGCCCTTTAGAGAAATTAATTTCACCTCGCCAGTCAATAGCTTCCAATTTTGTGTTAAGCCTCTGAATTCTTTCAAGATACTCTTGTTCCAGACATTCGCCGTCATCAATAACGTTATTCCGAGAAAATCGTAGCTTTTTATCGTGTTTTTTTTTTTTTTTTTTAAGTTAGTTTTATTTTCGGACAAAGCACTCTACATGGATTTGCACAATTGTACATAAATAGTCGTTTTTTTTAAATTACGGAAGCACTATCGAAACAAATTTTACAGTTTTTTTTTTATGTATTATAACTTTTTAGGTATTTGTACCCTGTCGTGGTGTCTATACGCTCATGTTTGTCCCGATTACTACTACCAGACGCAACGTAGTGCTAATCGTTCGCATAAAGTCATTTGGTTGAATAAGACACCGAGACATTGTGAGGCAATCAAACAGTTTTATTCAAGGAAACTGGCCCATGCGTGCTGTTCAGTTCATTCTACGGAAGAACTCCAAAGATTGTAATTCTGTCCAGATAGTTAAGGACATCCTGAAATGTCGGGACTGTAGATGACAAACAGCCAAATATACTCAGTAACAAAAATAAAACACGAACACGAGGGACTCTACATCCAGGAAACTTACCAAGGTGCTTGATCAAGTGCATCCCCGAAACTGGCACTTGGCGAAATTCGCACTCTCGAGCCGGCAAAAAATCATATAGTATATTAAGCTTCTTTTTTTTTTTTCTTTTTTTCAATTCAAATAATAATGTCTTGAATGAGATGGATGTTTTGCCTCTGATGGATGTTCTGAATCGATGGATGTTTTGACTCGATAGATGTTTCGACTCGGATGGATGTCTTGACTCGTTGCATGTTCTGACTCTGGTGTCACGTGACCTCGTGGATGTTTTGACTCGATGGATGTTCTGACCCAATGGATGTTCTGGCCATAAGCGCATATACGGCTCTGCGGGGAGGAAGGCCAGGGCAGAGGGTGCATGCATGCGCAGAGCTATACTTGGAAAAGGTCCATTAATTTGGAATCAGTTCTTAGTTGGGTTGTGCACCCATCATAGATTTTAAAGGGGCGGTGCAATGATTTTAACACTGAACGAATGTGCAGCTTGTATTTTTTATATTGTTTACTTCGGCATAAGTAAGAGAAAAAGTGCCACCACATCCCAAAATACCCCTATTTCGCTGCGTAATCGCAAAATAAAGAACGCTTTTTTTCCCAACCTGCGGCCACATGGTGGCCGCAAATGGAACCTGTGGTGTGACGTCATTCGGAGTGGTTTTTGTAAGTGATAGTGTTAGGCAATTGTAAGCTTGATTTAAGGTTAAGTTTAAAAAAATCATGTTGTTTAGGTATGCAGAAACGCTTGAGAAGCCTAATATTGCCGCTAAAAGGGTATGAATTATTTGTGGCGCCATCTACCGCAAGTCAACAAAACCTG